ACTCTTGCCCTCGGATCAGCTGAACAATCCCGACTAGCCAGTGCCGGATTATCTTTTTTCAAGATATATTTGCGTCGGGTGCTACATCTGACATGTCGGGCTCATGCTCTCGACTATTACTACGTCAACGTACTTTACGTAACCACGACAGCTTTGTATTTCCTCCTTAGCAAGAGTCTGTAAGAAGAGAAGTGCTCCTAGCAAGGCTTCTTCCAGTGTACCACGAAGCTATTGTTCAGAAAACTTGTCGCCAAGTTGTAGAGAAACTGGAGCAAGCAGTTTAATTCAATTATGTAGAGAAAGATCAGAATAGATCTGTGTTGGAGCAAGCAAAAGACTATAATTAAAGGAAGCGACAAATAATCGCAACTCTTTTTATTGCTGCCAGAGTGACAGGGGCAAAAGGCCGCTCTAGGCACATAATCATGGAAGCTGTTAGGAATCCGTATTCCACGTATTCCACGAATCAATTAATCAATCAATTCGAAAGTCACACAAGAACACCGCTCACTCAACCCTTAAACAGATCGTCTCTGTTTGTGTGAACCGCACAAACATAAAGTTTACCTGACAACTCCAACTATCAGATGAAGGCAAAAATTGATAAAGCATGTAACAAAATTCCCCAGGCAAGGCTTAAATCAAAATGGACAACAATTTGAACATGAAAATTTGTGTTGACTAAACAAATTCTACATCTATCTGTCGTCTTTAACTTGTACTCTTAATCTGTAATATATATAGCGCTTTTATAATCACGCAATGTATGTACATATTTCGTCGGGACACATTGTATGATGTGTTTTACAAATGATGTGAAGCGCATTTCACCGATTAAAATACCATCTTCTTATATATTTCATTGATATTTAGGAACATTATACAAATATATCATAAAACAAAATTGTTGACGTCATCCTGTAAATAGCGTTGGAATTTCTTTTTGGACTTTAGATAATTCTGTTGTCATTAGAGTATGTTATCGATACACTCTACGCTGTGTCATCTTGCAATTATTTGATGAAGATCATAATCCAATAATATTTCTTTCAACAGCCGAGATATAAAACAAGATAATTAATTCGAGACTCCGGAGAATTAATATTGATTCCAGTTACGTTGCGGAAGTGATAACACGTATAACATTTATATATGTACATCTGTACACATTTATATGCAAGTAACTTATCAACTTTATTAAGGTTCAAACAAAGAACTTACTGTTCACATTGAACCTTTTTTACGCAACATTGCGTATCTTCGGTCGTTGATTTGCTGTTTTGCACAAGAACAAGAAATATGTTATCTCGCGTCGATATGTTATGACATTTGCATAGTCATTTATAAACAAGACAAATAAACCAGGATAGAGATGGACTGACTGCCTTGAAGAACTCTGCTAACTATTGATTTCTTTAGAGGATAGGCATTAGTAAACTGTGTATGGTATTGCGTTAGATAACCGCATATGCAATCACTTTACAGAGTGATTGGTATATTTAACGCTTGTAGACGCTTGCTTTTCCTATTTGTAAGAGATTTGCATTTTTCATTATGCTAAGGGGAACTGTCGTTATCCTTCGCCGCACCGTTCTTAAGCACCGTTTTTATGAAAAAAGTCGAAAGTGATGGAAACAATTTGATAACCACTGTCTGTATGCCTGTGGCTACCGATAACAAATCGATATGCTGAAAGCAGCGATCTTGAAACCTAAGTTTATGGCTTAATTTTCGCGTTTTTTTCGAATCCTTAATGGGAGCTACTGAATGACGGCGTCTGTCTTCTTGCAAGATAACAGGAGGACCACTTTGTAGCACACAGTTGCACGTATAGTTAATAAATAGTTAATAAATTTTTAATGGACTTAATTCAGATAATTAAGTACATGGTTCGCTCAGGCAACATTAACTACTACTACAAGCAAAAGATAGGAAGAATTTTAGGAATGGGCTCACGATCTTGTTGATACTTTCAACTCCTTCGGATTAAATACAACAACACGTTATTGTCAGTTATGTACGGACATAACAAATGCAATTGTATATAGCAACACGTGATATACATTGACTTACCGTATAGCTTTAACCGAAGCGATATAAACTCAATTTCGAACTCTATCGTACTATCCACACGGCTAGATCATAAGTTGGCAAATACCGCAACTAAAAGCTACCCACCATGTCGAAACTGAGTACACGCACTGAACACAAGTCTCCGTGAATACCAAGATATTGTAACTTACAGAATACGTGCCAATAAATGGTGCAAATAATTGAGCTTTTTCAGCTATAGCTGCTGCGATTAACACACACAGATGTAGCCTTTAACAAAAAAGGCCATACTATATGTCAAATTTTAGTTGAAGTCTGCTCAAATTTCATGTCATTTCATTTATGAGGTGTTTTGAGTGGTTTTAACGATGCTACTTTTGTGTTAACTAAATCCTGTTCTTTGATGGGAAAATATGGAGCGTCGGTTGTAAAAGTGTTAGAAAAAATTTTTTTCATTATTTTACCGAACATATTGCGCTTCTGGATGACGCTTCGAACAATGTTTTTATTCAAAAAACAGAAAATATGCCGCATTTGAGTTTGCGACTTGCTTTACATTAGCTCATCATATACCGACCACACAACACTGTTTCTGAACGGTGCATTAATTTCGCATCGCGATTAGAAGAGATTATCGGGCGTCGACTTTTCGATGCTGCACCCAACTTACGCATATCCAACGGATTCATAGTCTCAGTTTTGATTTGAAAGTCTTCCTTCCCATGAGTAGCACATAGAGCTGCAATCCAAGAGGCATTACTGAAATTATCATAAACGCGACCGAATTGAAGCTATGAAGTATCGAATACAAGCCTGCAATAACATAACTAGTAGGAACGTAATGGCTCAAGTTAACTCTTAACAGTGCTCGTGCACAGAAGCGTAGAACACCTCTTAATTTAAAAAAAAGCCGAAAGACGACAAGTAGGAAAGTTGTACTTGGGTGGACCGAATATTGTATAACCACCAGTTAGTTTATAATATATAGGGGGCGTCATCGTCCTTCTCCAATTTTGGGATAAGAAACTTATATTAGGTAGAATGATCTTTCCACTGCAGCTTACGGGTAGTGAGTAAAAAAAAACCATGCTGCAATACCAAGCTGACTAAATTTTGATGCTTTGTAATAACGAGTGGGCATGTTTTATCTTATTTACCTTATAAGTAAAAAATGAAAAATATGAAAATTTGATTGCGAGTAGTAGTAGCTATGCGGGTATGGTCGATTTTTCTCTTATCATTTTTACGATCAGAGGAGTGTCGACAACAGACAGACAGACGCACGGACGGGCAGACATGGCTTAATCAATTTCGAACTTCGTATGTATATACTTTATAGACTCTGAAGCTTTATTTATTTATTTATTTATTTATTTATTTATTCCACTTATACAAGAAACTCAACTAAAACAAAATGGCAGTCGAGTTCAATTGACTCTTAAGTAAATCTTAAAATTATTTAATAATAAAACTTAGTATAAGTACAATAAAACAAATAAGGAGGAAAAAAAAAAGAAAAAAAAAAAAAAAGCATGTACACAATTAGCATAGAGCCACGCCCACAACCGATACAGGACCAAATTGCAAGTGAACCCCTAAGCCATCGCAAACATGCATAAGCTTGGCAACCGATAATTGTTAACAACAAATTAATTTTCGACTCATAATGACAAAATCTAAGGTTAAATCAGTTTAAGTACGACATAGGTAAATCGCGCTTGTTGAGCAATATTGCTTTAATAGACTTTAAAGAGTCCGTTAATTAGAATAGATGATAGACATCATTTAGGTTCTTGCAAACAACTCTGAGCGGGTTAAACAGTTCAAAGTTATATTTGCATTGACTAAGCTTTATCAACATAAAGTACCTAGAGAAGCGGTTAGGGACATTAAAGCAAATCTCACGAAGTAATGCGGGCGAATCAATTGCACCATTTATTAATTTGATTAGGAAGGAAACCCCAAGAACAAATCTACGTTTCTCGAGTGACGGTAAGGATAACAGAAGCAACCTATTTTCATAGGGTGGAGGAGGGGAAATCGGGTCCCAACCCAAATTCCTAAGTGCAAACAGCAAGAATTGCTTTTGTATAGATTCAATTGAACCAACGTAGCATTTATATGAAGGAGACCACACAACAGAGGCATACTCAAGAATAGGTCTAACCAAACACGTGTAAAGCCTTTTCGTAATATAAGGATCATCAAGCTCTTTGGACCACCTCTGTATAAAACCAAGAGCGGACCTAGCTTTGCTTAACGAGGACTCAATATGCAAATTGAAACGTAACCTATAATCGAATAGAACGCCTAAATCTATGAACGAATCGACGTCTTCCAACCTGTGCGAATCAATGAAGTATTGGGTACTAAACGACTTCCTTCTTAAGAATGAAAGCTTCTTACATTTATTTAGATTTAGCTTCAGAAGATTGAGGGAGCACCATGCAACCAAATTGTTCAAATCACTTTGAAGATGATGTGATTGCGATTCTACGGAAAAAGAAGTAAGATTCTCTTTCGAGAATCGCAAACATTATGACAAAATTAATATATTCTCATCGTAGGGTGGAGGGTATGAAACCAATATTGCGCATTTAAAATTGTCGCTTCATCAGTTTCTTCAAGTCTTTATATGAAAACTCTAAAGGTTTTCTCATTTAAGGATTAGTCAATCGATAAGGATGGTGCACACGCTTCGTCTATCATTGATTAGGTCAGGTCATGTATACCAAGTATAAATGATAATCATTATCAGACTTGTCACGAAAATAATCCGGATGTGAGAACAAGGCAACAAGAATTTACATTCTTTGAAAAATCGAAAAAACAAGACAATTTCGCGGATAAATATCAAGTTCATCTTATAGTTCTTCATAAACTTAAAAATAACGAAACAACAGCAAATTAAAGAAACGTTAGTAGAAAAAAGTTTTGCTTGCACTTACTTTTCTCTTCAAACACTTGTTTGACCGATGACATTGATGTTGTTGCTGATAGCAGCGTTGAGCTCGCTGTAGCAGCAGCTGCCGACGATGCTGATGATAATAATGAGGGTCGTCGGCTGTGAGTTCGATGCACTTGATGGGGACTACCATGGATAAATGTGGTCGGCGAATGTATGGCACCGCTAGCACTAACACCAGAACGACGTAAATCCACATTAAAACGGCTACTGGCGCTAGCACCGCCTCCATTACCACTGACACTAGCAGGAAACGAGGAAATGGATGAGGGCGGTGCCGATGGCATCGAAGACGACAATGACGGAGACATAAAGCTAGATGTGCTAATTTTACGTATTTCCGTTATATCACCGACATGTGGAGAACTTTTCGTTGAAGTTGGCTGTTTCAGGCTAGAAGCCAAACAATCTGTCGACAATGTCGACAATAATAAAACAAGACAAACTAACATAATGACATTTAAATTAAGTGAGCTAAAATAACATAATTGATGCACAACAAACGCAACATAATTACGAAGTAGCGTTAACGGAGACGTCGACCGAATTGTTAAAGTTGCAGAAACCGGCATTATTAACGTAGGCAGCACTAAGAAAACACAATAATAATGTTTTTACCACCTCAACTGGTTTCGAGAGACACGCTCTCTTCTCTTCTCTTCTCTTCTCTTTATATCTCTCTCTGCCTCTCCGTTGTTCTTGAGCAAATTACAAATTTATTAAAAATATTTTTGCTTATTTTTTTTTTTTGTTTAATTTATAATAAAAGCAAGAAAAAATTGACTTTGCTAAACTTTATATAGAAAAATATTTTTTTCAAAATGTTTTTCCACTTTTTGTTTGGCCTTGCGTGTGTGAGTGTGTGTGCGCGTGTGCTTTAAAGTATCCTATCCAAACCACAATTAAAAGCAATAGCACTTTATTGTTGACACCTTTCCGTGCCAATTTCCACTATTTTTAACATTATTTACTTTACACTTGATTACATTATTTTCTCCAATTAAATATATGTAGACGCGTTTATCTAAAAACATCATTTCTTTACAGCATTAATTTATATGCTTAGTAGCTACATATTGCAAATGTTCGCATGAGCTCTTAGGCCAAAATATAACAAACGCGAAACGCACGACCATCACTCTCGAAATCTACAATGAATTCGATTAAAAAAAAAAAAAAACAATGTAAAATGTTGAAAAAGAAAAAAACACGGAGGAAAATCTAGCCAAGAAAACTTTATTCTCACTCACACTTATTATCTTTTCTTTTGATTGTACTTGTTTTTGTGCATAACTTTAAAATTTCTTTCTTTTTTTTATGGCATCTGATTATAATTTTTTCACATTTTCTATTAATTCTTCTTATTTTAAGAACTTCAATCCAACCGATGATCCGACAAATCCCGCAGATACTTCGATGCAAACTAAAATCGTCTCTCAGAGCAAGCAACATTTTACAAAAACTAAGTAAAATCAAGCAAAAGAAATTTCCTCTCAGAGCAGTACTGCCAGTGAATATTCTCTCTATTATACATCTTAAAGCCAGATATTATCTCATCTTCGGTAGCCCTGTTTATTAACAGTTATTACTTTGGTATGGCAATACCGTTACCATTGCTTTAATGAGAAAATATATATATCTTTTTATTTCGTAGATGAAGTAATTAAGAATCTCAGCCAGAAACAAAGTGCAAACGTTTTTCCAATTCGAAATGAATCACTTCGGAACAACTAAATAAAAAGTTTTTTATATACAACGAAATTTGATTGTTAGTGTATTGCTAAAGAGGATGAGAATGCACGAAAGCAAAGAATTGTTATTTTTATTCTCATGGAAAGGAACTGCTGATAGAGAAAGGAATTTGCGAAAATTTTATATTTGCCGTAAATTATAAGAATAGCCTTTTGCATTTGACCGGCTTGAATGATCACTCATGTATAGCTGAGTAATACTTTTGACCAGTTCCCACTTGAAGACCATCGCCCATTGTTAGCTATTCATTCACTAATCATGAACACAAAATGTTTGTTTTGATATACACATCCGTTTTTTATTTGTTATCCATACTCTACAATGCATTCCACAAACAAATTCCACAATTAACTAACGCTTATAGATAACAGAACCACTACAGTCACTCTTATATCTTTACAGGTATCTTATTTGAAAGATACCTCAACAGGAAAAGAAAAAGAAATGTTTATAAACATTCAAAATGTAGAAAAAAAACAAAAAAAACCGGATATTTCCTTGGGAACATTTACTATGGAGATATTATAACTTGTCCAACAAAATAACATTGGTTTTCAAAAATATTTTGTCCCGAAATCGTGGTAATCAAATTTCTTCGTATGAACGTGCGAATAATAAGTGATAAAATGAATACGGGGACTGGGTTACGCGAGTGCAAATAAATTGTTTTGTGTGAAATATAATCTTTACTACACATACGCAATATGAATTTCTCTGAACGGCAGTAAAACAAAGTGAAAAGCCTGTAGTGGGACGCGTCCCGCCGTTAAATATCCTACAGCATTCTATATGCAGCTATTGAATTTTGAAATTAAGGCGCTATATGAAAAGTGGTCGAAAAGTTTGTCCGATCCGAACTATTTTCAAAAGCGTTCATAATTGGGCTGAAACATGAAAATATTCCCAAATATACGGCCTATAGCTCGAACGCAAGAAAACGAGACGGACAGATAGACAGACGGACAATCTTAACTCGATTCAGAAAGTGATTAGAGATCAATCGGTATAATAAACGGTGGGTCCAACTCAAGTCCTTCTGACTGTTGCATAAAGTTAGTATATCTTTGCACCACGAGTGGTGTAGAAAGAGAAAGTCTATCGAAAACTGTAGAAAATTGATAAACGTAAGCAAAATATGTTTTATGCCCAAAAACGCAATTATTTAAAGTTGAAAAAGTAGTAATTGCCTCCAAATTTACTTCGAAAATAAATGAATGCACAAACTTTCGTACGTTTTGCTGCATGATAGAAACACACATACCAACCTGCAGATCGCAAGTTTTGAGATATTTTGTTGACATATGGCACTCCACCGCTCTCCATAAAAAATTTTTGCAAGTTTGAAAATTTCTTGACAAATATCGCCGAGTGATAGCGTTTCGGCTTATTGAATTGGAAAATACAATCCCCCCCCCTTCACCTTCATATATATATATATATATATATATAGGCCTTTACATGGAAACAATGTATAATTGTTAATATTTTTCCCGGAAAAAATCAAGAATTATGTATTCCGAAGCGCTGTAGGGTATCTAATCGCTGACTTTGCTCGACTGTGGTTTTAATTGTTTTCAATACAATCTGTACATCTTTCGATTTCTTGAAACTCACACGCGCTCTATTTACATGTGTTTACATTATGTAAATTATGAAACTGAGAATGTGTTACGTATTTTTAGAAAAATTTATTAACAACAAAAAGAATCAGAATTCAGTGATTTGATTAGTTTCCCAAAATGGTCAAACAGCGTTTGAAAAATGACATGAATTTTTACTTACCTAAAAACTTTATTTCTAGAATATATTTATTATGAGCCCATGGAGTCAAACGATCATTTATTATTTAATTAGTATAAAATGTTAACATAATTTAAAAATGACTTAATAATTGAACTTAAACGATACTTCTGGAAAGCATTAAGAAGACGAGTGCCGTTGATGTCGTTGCGCGTACGAGCAAATTTTCCATTCATTATTAAGCGGTGATGTTGTTCAATTAATACTCGTTTAAGAAAACTGAAAATTTCGCAAAGTCCTTTCGAAATCCAAATTGTACATTGTCACCTTCGTCCTTAGTGGAAGTGTTTGAATCTAATTATTCTATTCACGGTTCGTGTAGCTTTGCAGCAGATTCCATATCCAAAGCGCCACAAGCCTGTTTGGCATGAATCGAATAATAGTAACTAAGTTTACAGATTCCAAAAAAGCTTACCATCTTTATCCGAGTTCTTTTAAGAATTTCAGGGGGCTTTACTTCGTGATTGGGATAGAATACAAATTCGTCACATTCTAGACCACGTTCGTTGAAATTACTAGGATTGGCGTAAAGGATTCCAATTTTCAATTTCGATTTTGAAATGGTTAGCCTATATTGCCCTTATGGCTTTCCGATTCGTTACCGAATCGATGACCAAATCGAATCGGTTTTTATTTCAGCATTGGTAACGGTTTGAATGATACTATGGCCACTCTTTCCGTTCCGTTAAACTATATATTAAGTCAACAACGAAGTTGAGATGATAGATTCCGATAAACCAAAAGCTGTTTGTGAACATTTTTCTGCAATTTTCGTTTTCTATTAACTTTCGTGAAGATTGTGCGGTAAATTATTGAGATGAGGTTGCATTACCAAGGGAAAAACGTTTTCATTGCCTGTATAACTTTCATAATTACGTCTTTCTGGCGAATTCAAACAAACCGTATCCGTATTATTCCTTCGGGATTTTTAATGCAAAGCACTTTGTCTCAGCTTTCATGTATCCTTAGTCGCGATTTATTCGAGCATTTGCATCTGCACCCAAGTGACGCTATGAATATCGCATCACATCCCCCGTTGCGTTCAAAACCCAAAAAAAAAAAAAAAAAAAAAAAACAATAATAAAAGACTTTATCAACATCTACATAGTGATGACGAACGAAAAGAAACGCATTAAAACTTACAGCATCATAAAAATGACGTCATCATAAGATTGAATTGAGCTCCCTCCATCATTTCACGTTTATTCATCCGATCGTAGTGAAAACATATTGTTAACGCCTTCAATGCCTTAACATCGGTTCCCAATATAATCTGGCAATATTTCAGGGGAAATAAACCAGGCTTGTTGCTCACGAGATAACCAATTGCCACAAATCCCATCCGCCAACAAAACATAATTTATCGATAACTGTCATGAAAATAGGGAAAAATAATTAAATTGAAGAGCAAAACGATGCCATCGAATCCTCAATTGTTTATCTTTACACTAATTTGTATGCGTGTAAATTAAATTTTCAGAATAAAAGTAATTTATCTTTTGATGAGTGGTGGAGCACGTGCATGCACACTTAGATGAATATACTTACGTTGTGTACTAGTAATTAGTTTCGGTAAGCTGACATGCAAACCATCGATACGATGACATTTCATATTAATCGTAGTCCAAAGGCTCATATAATGTCATTACGATGCCAATCAACTCAATTACACAAGCATTATCAGCGTTTACGCGACGCATCTCGTTTTGAATCAAGGACAACGGAGGAGAGGCTTCATCCTCGGTTACTGATAAAAAAAAAAAAAAAAAAAATTTTTTTATTTAAACATAGCAACTATTATTATATTGATTGACTTGAAACTAACAAAAAACAAGTAAGAAAATTATATTCGGTCGTAACCCATCACCGTTATCCTAACAAAGACAAGAGAGTAAAAGAATTCAATTTTCTTGCTCTATAATACGCAGTGGGTGCGGCTAATTTTTTCAAAAAAAAAAGTTTTTGCCCCATATTCGCGTGGGCGTTGAGGGCGTGTCCTTGATAAAGTTCAAGTCATTTCCAAACTGCTTTGCAAATTTTTCGCCGATACCTTCATTTTCATTAACGGCAGAATGTTTACCGCATATAATATACGTTGCGCAGACAGACGGACCTGCTTAGGTGCATTCCAAATTTGAAATTAGCCGAAATTTTATATACTTTATGGGGTTTTTGAAGCTTGTTTTTGCGCCTTATAAAGGGATTGAAAACAATTAAATTTTGATCCACTATAATACTAAGAAGGCGCGGTCAATTTTTCCATTTTTGTGCGGGTGTTACAGTTTCCCCCGTAGGATATGCAATCAACTTTCTGTACATTTATCTGCTACAGTTAATAAGTAATGAGCAATAATCAATTTTTCACTCCTGTTGGATAGCAGAAATGTTCTTGGTTTACGTGATACTATGGGCGTGCTCTTGAACCGATTTGGGCCATTTTTGATAGCAGTCTGCTTGCAAGAATTTGCAATGTTAAGAGCTTCAAGTTTGCGGCCAGAAAAATGTTTACAACAGACATTACGCAAACGGCAGATGGACAGACGGACATGTTTGGATCGATTCGATGATGCTGATCAGGAATATGTATACTTTGTGATGTACTCTGATGCTTCCTGCCTGGCATTGGATAATATCATCATCAGCCTTCAGCGACGGAGTTAAGAAGAGAAATAAGAAGAATTTATTTTAAAAACAATGCTGGAAAGAACAATAAAACTGAGAATTCGTTATTCTATGATTTTGTGTGTGATACTGTTCGCATTAAAACTGTTGTCATTATATTACTATTGGCATTATATCTCGTGTAGTTTCTGAGTAACGAGCAAAAAAAAAATTCTTTTTTTTTTTGATTTAAAACGGAGTAGCTCTCAGTTATGCTGTACAGTAGGAGTATGCTTTGACCGATGTGATTCATTTCCAATATCAATCGGCGTGCAACAATTTTGAACCTTCTTCAGTATATCTTTCTCTTGAGCAAAAAGAAATGAACAGACAGCCGGACGGATATGCTAAGATTAATTCGGTTGTGTTACAAATGATTTGCCGAAACGCATATATAGATACCTAGTGTAGTAGTGATTCCGAAATTGATTTGCATTTGCTTTCCCAGCCTTGCTGGGCAAGAAAAAAAAGAGTAAAAAGATCCACGTATACGTATACGTATACGCGATATGTTACTTAGCTAGAGTCGGTGTCGGATAATGCAACAGCACTCATTTAATAGCCAATTTCCTTAATCTCTAATTATCTAATTGACTTTAAATTTTATTTAACTTTTTTTGCTTACACATCTGACATAAGAAGTGAACAATTTCATTACCTCTAGGATCTTGCCTTGCTCAGCAGCAACAAGCAGCAAAGAACAGCATGGTAATGACAATAGCATCAACGATAAGAAAAACACCAAGAACAACAACAACAACAGCAGCAGCATACAATTTGCAAATGACATTAAATCTGTTTTCGTATGCAAATGACTTCCACTCCATTCCAGAGTGTATATGCAGAGTGTGTAGAAACTAAAAAACTGTTTGATATATAAGCGCATTAAAGGCGCAAACGTGTACGCGCAACAGACGTAGTCACTTTTACTCAAACAAACAGATTCCAATCGTAGCAGAATAAAAATATACATATATATATATATATATATATATATATATATATAAATTCCTCTCCCTCATGTAAAATTCAAATTTATTCTCGTAAAAAAAGGCAAATGAACTGAGTGAGTCTGAATGCTAACTGGCCTAACCATACGGAAAGCAATGAAAAAAGAAAACATAATAAAGCTAATAATAAACGTGGGGAAAAAACTTATTTGCATGCTACCCAACGATGGATATAACTTCCGTTACCTTCAAATTAATACCTTTCGATTTCTTTTCTCAAATCGCTTACAGCTAGACAGCGTAATACAATCCGTGTCACATGTAAAGATTTTCATATATGTTCTTTTGATAATTATGGAATTTGTTCTTAGTAAGGAGAAGCCATTCGAAGACTTCTATCTATGTTTTTATTCAATGATAAGATGGCGAGGGACAAATCAAATGAAAAACTTACTGCATTACGTTCTACGTTAGTGATGAGATTATATGGAAACATGGAATAAAAAAATGTGAGAAATGAGAAGCTGCTCATAATTTCAAATTCGAAATAAAATTTTCAGATTAGAATCAACCATGATTTTTACTTCGCCTAAATAAAGGCTAAAGCTCAAGGTGAATCGACATTTTCTGTAATGATATTAACAGCGACTGAAAGTTGTTTCAGCTAATGTTGCATAATGTTGCATCTAAGCGTTGCTTATGTAACAACGAACTTTGTATATCATCCCTTTTCCATATCGTGCTTAACAAAAAAAACTTCCATACAATTTTCCGTAGTTTCTTTATCCACGACCTGGGAGCGCTTAGTAAGTAAATAAAAGAAGGCTTTTTTGTTTTTGCTTCTGAGTGGGTGGCAATTGAATTCTCGACAAATTTTTTTACCTTATGTTGTTATCTTAACGTTGTGATGAAAATAGTAAGCCGAGAGGGTCACATATTCGGCTGAGAAAATGTCCAAGCAGAGGAGATTTTTTATAGAGCTTTGAAGCAAATGCTTTCCTTTGTTTGAACACGTATTTCGCAAAATCACAAAACGAGAATAAATAAAAAAATCAATAAAGTGCGCTTAATTTTATCACTTAATGCGCTCTCCATTCGATTACCATACAAATAAAAAGATCATAACAATGACATTTTCTTTTTAATCAGAACGAATTGACATAAAGGAAGTTGATAGCATGGTGTTTATCGTTTTCTTTTTTTTTTTTCTTTTCGTTTTTGTGCGTTCCAAAACTAGAACAAGTAGGCACGTTTTAGTCGGTCACAGCCAAGCATTAAATAGTCTACGTCACTTCGCTTAATGCATTTATTCATTCATTTTCGTGATAACACACCAAAGATACTGTTTTCATGAAAGAAATCTCATATTGAAGAGTGAACAAAATGTCAGCTGATGGTGGTCCAAAGAAAAGTAGTTAGAAAAATTTCCCCATCTGATCAAGTGTAGAATGGCGGAGTCCTATTACCCAACCATTTTTTTCGAGAAATTTTGAAAATTGCAATTTTCGCCATAAGGTGCGAAATGGGAAGCAGTCGAAAAAGGTTTTCAATCGCTTTCGTTTTCGTTCTTGGGTCAACGCACATCGAAGTATTTCAAATACCACGACCTATAGGCTAAACCCCGAAAATATATAGGCAACGATCAGATGGACAGATAAACAGACAAACTCAAACGGTGGGCTTACCTGAAGTCGCTATGGGTGCTACATACAACCCGATAAACTTAACATTCCGTTACATCATGAGTGATGTAAGCTATAAAAATATGTTCTAAAAAATTTTAATAATAGTAATGGGAAGAGTAAACTGTTAAAATTCATTATATGCCGTACGGTCACGTGCAACATATACTTGAAATATGGTATAACTAAAATAGGAAACACAACCAACGTAGAAACAACGGAAAAAGCTTTTGTTGTCACTTGAGGTTTATTTAACAGAAAGATGTAAAAACGTCACTTATTAAATTTATGAAAAAAAGAAATCTATATGTGTAGCTCGTGACGGTAGACAGTATGTACCATAAAACCGAGGTAAATCCTCAAAAGTGTGCTGTGATGACGGGCACCAACAGAATGTTGGCTGTTAACAATTTTACTTGTCCGAAGTATCCTTTGGTTGCGCATAGCCACTGTATACGTCTATGTGGGCAACGAACCGTTAAGTACTTGTGAAGCCCAATTTACAAATACCAACGTTGGCAGTTAAAAGTTTCACTTTTCCGAAGAGTCCTTCGGTTGGATATAGCCACTGCATACATATATGTGGGCAACGAGCCGTTAAGTACTTGTAAAAGTTAATTTACAAATACTTCCGTATGCGGCCATGCCTACGTACCCTAAGAGACTAATGTCTGTTAACGTCTTTTTATGCAGTGTCAGTCTTTTGTCAGACTATTGCTATCTCTAATTTAGATTTAAATCTGTCTGTAGGTCCAGTTTTCAACTCTTCAAGGCTTTCAATGTCACCTTTCCAACGAGCATAAATCTGAAATTGTTTGATCGATACTTTATGAGATGCCGATCACTATAGTCACCTAAAGAAGAAATAATGGATTTCTTGTTTCCCGTCTTATTATCACATAGATTATGGTTCGAACTTATGTCCCTATCGTCTACCATTTTATTTTGTACTATTTTTTTATTTCCTTTTTAGCACTTTGACGATGGCTCTACTTACCGTAATATAAACATTTACTCGTAGCATAGTAATATTTGGAAGATCGTAGTGACCAAGCCAAGTGCTCCGAAATATTTAAACTAATATCCTGTGAAAAAACATATACCGTACAGAGTTGGAAAATTTATTGATCATTGATTTGCGTGATTTTAGTCATTAATAACTTAACAGTTCAGTTCAGTTTGTTCAAATTTTTGGTTCGTGCCTTTGCTAGTTATGTTTAAAAACAACTTCAACCCCCAGAAACTTCGCCTAGAAATTTCAAAAGTTTACACTGATGGCGCAATGTTCTTACGACAAAAACGCCAAAATTATCGCCAGACCGCGCAAATGGTTTGAAGAGATTCCTCAAAATATGAGAAATTATTGGAGTTTTGCTGAATAAGCGCCATGAACTTTTTCTTTGACGTAATGTTAATATACACGTTTTTTTTTTTTTTGTTATTTTTGCCTTTGT